TGGTTTTCACCCCCCTTCTCCTTGTTAAAGTGTAGTCTAAATGCATTTCTGATTCCTGATGTGACACATGGGCTGCTTTTAATAACTAATTACCAGGATTGGCTTCTGGATTCACACAATAAGGAATGATTGATAACCTCTGAAATAAAGAGCGGACCCATTCTGGCTCCTGACAGGCCCTTTGGAGAAATGTGATGTTAGTAATGAATGAAACCGTTTAAGTAGAAAATGACTGCTGAACGCAGGAGGAACGGCTCTTGGATCAATACATTTGTCTACACTGCCATTTTGAAAACTAACAGGCGGTAGGGACTCTCTCTTCGCAATACCCTTGCTCTTCCATGTATATAGACCAATAGGCCAACATATTCATATGGGGCATTTTTGTACTCAGCCTCTGAATTCCTCAATCTACCACAAGTGGATGGATGCTGTTAAAATTCCTCCATATATCACTGGATCTGATACATTGTATCAGATGGATTGAAATCAGAGCAGCTCTTAGTATTGTATCTAGCTATGTATTTATTTCAAAATATTCCAAACATGATAATGTGTAGCTTACAATTACAATTACAGCTTACAATTACTACCAGGGACTTATTTATCATATATAGATGACTATATACTGTATTTGGTCTCTGATTAATTGTTACTTAACTTAAGAAGCATATAGGCTATTTTATTTAGAATTATGGCCGCAGGAAGATGTTTTTGTTTGGGGTTGCTGTGGGTTGGGGGTGCTTCTTTTTTAAATTTAGATTTATCAGGGGGTGCTGCAGCACCCCCAGCACCCCTACTTTCCACGGCTATGATTGATTATCTGTATCAATCTGTAGGCCTGTTAATTTAACGGAAATGGTGTCAATAATTTGTCAGCACCAGTCATTTTACGGTAGACTGCAATGCTTCTTTGTGGCAGCATTTTTGGGGGTGGGGGTTATTACATTTGCGGCTTAGTTGAACTCCATGTGTGAGGAACATGCTTGTGGAAAATAACTACATTTTGTGACAGGGGAACGTATGATGTTTGCTCCGTATATAACATCTGTGCAGGCCGGGTTGCAGCACTTGTGGTTTGTTCAATACCCAGACGCTTTCGGGGTGTCCTTGAACTGTTCCTGGGGCTCTCACATACACATGGGTTTCATATGGTTTCATCGCTGGTGACGTTGAACGCAGCCCTCTGTGATCCAACTATAGGCACACTGTATAACTGTAAAGTAGGCACCCTGCACATGACAGCTCTGACACGTACAATAAATATCCATTTCTCCACGGCTGTATGTATGAAATGATAGATGTGATTTAGAGAGAGCTCTGCTAGGCTTAATCCTTTGGCCAAGCTGGCTCGTGGCTGTGGGCCCTGCACACACACACAAACACACAAACACACACATCCGTCTCTCCATCTTCCTGTACCCCTGTTGAAATACATTGGAAATAAACACACAGACTAGCTTGGCACCGTAGCAGACCCAGCCGGCTGGGTATGGCTCTGTCTGTGTATGTACAGATGTGGGATCTTCATTTGATCAACAAGCTCTAACAGTCGCACTGCAGAATTAGACGTTCATCCACATTCTCCAAACGTCAAATTTCGAAGTTAAGGTTAAGTTTAGGCACACATTCCGAATGGTTAAGGTAAGGGTTAAGGTTTGGGATTGGTTTAAACCAAAAATAAAGAACCAGTGTCCACTGGGATCAAACACACAACCTTCTGATCCAGAGTCATGGGATTACTTGATGGTAATAGCGCTCAGTGTTGCCCTTTGAAGGCATTTCCAGACGTCCTCAGGACATGGATAGATGTCCAATTTCAACATCAATCTTGAATAATGACCTGGCTGCAATGATTCCAACCAGACCAGACCAAGTATACATTTTGCATTGAGTCTGGCACCTCACACCTGGTTGTGTATAGCTCTGTGAATGTATGCATCTAGCACCACACACACACACACACACACACACACAAAGGATTATATGATTACCAGAACCAATGTTGCTGCATCTGTGCCGCAGTGGTATGTGCTCTGCCTGTTTAAATCTTAATTCAGAGCTTCAGAGTTTGGATTGTCAAGGGTTATTGGTAGGCCCATTCAGGTGCCTCTCAATCACTTGATGCATGTGTGAATTTAATTTTCCACTGTGTATTTCAAGGATTTGCTTTCCTGTACATATGCCTATAGTGGTTGGGTGTAATATGTAGAAGACATTCTTTAAACACTGTCTCTCTTTTTTCACATGTATCTCTCTTTTGTTAAAAAAAAAAATATATATGGCTGTCCTTATACAGTGGCATGTCACCCAGCCACTATAGTGACACTTACATGTGCTCTTAAAAGGCTCTTAATACATGATTTCTACTCAAAAGCTGAGAGCCTCGCTTTTCTCTGCGTTTTATTTATCCTAGCTTGAATGTGGTTGCATTACAAAGTCCCTTTTTGATTTGCTGTTTTTTAACAGGTTTTAGAGATCAGGCCCATGATATATAAAGATGCCAGCAGAGAGCGACTCTCATTGTATGTGTAAATCTCGAGGCCACCATTTACCGCCGTGATTGACGCCATCTATTCAATAAGTAAGTGGTGCCTTCATACCACTTACGTGGCTTTTAATTTCAAATGGCCGTTTCGTTTTAGCAATCCTTTTTACTCCCGCCTTTCACTGCCCCTTGGAAGTTGAAATGTAAAAAAAAAAGAGAGAAAAATAACGGCATATCCCAGTTTTTTTTATTGCTTTGAATTACAGTTTGACTGCAGAGCAGAGCCTATAAGTGCAAGTGCCATTTCATAACGCATAAAAAGTCTGAAATGTTTTCATATTAAAAGGCCAATTTCTGTCAAAATTATACATGAAGTTAAGCAATACAAGCAATTCCTCTGTAGTCCTCTGTAGCTCAGCTGGTAGAGCACGGCGCTTGTAACGCCAAGGTAGTGGGTTCGATCCCCGGGACCACCCATACACAAAAATGAATTCACGCATGACTGGAAGGCGCTTTGGATAAAAGCGTCTGCTAAATGGCTTATTATTAATTCATTTAAACACATTTGAGAAAAATTCAAGACCACATTATCTTTTTGCATTTTCTTTCACGTAAAATACGTTACATTTGAAAGCATTAGCCTACAATGGCTGCAATACATAATTTACTTATTAAATGTAAAGCCGTTTAACAATCGGAAAAAAATACCCGTCCTACAGTCAATGGAACCATCCTTGTCATTGATGTTGCGTCTTATTTATTCATGCGAGTTATTTATTCGACGATGAAGAGACAATACACAATTCTTACCTCGGAATAATTCTCCGAAGCTGAGCCCCAAGATCTTTCGACAAAATAAGATAATTTAGGAGTGAGAAATTAACTTCCGTTACTCTAAAACGTTGACGTCAAAAGAATGACTATTTTTATAAGTTATGGGTTTTGCCTTCTTAATTTTGCCCCATATATAGGAAAGATATATTTTTAGATGTTTTGTTTTTCAAATTGTTCTATGTCATGCATTTTTTATGGCACAAGGTTAGACTAAGCTATGTGATCAATACTTTATGTTTTTTGTTTTGTTATCTTCTATTGAATGTTTAGGCTGGAAAACGTCATAATCATAACATTCTGTTCCTTAGAATGAAATATGAACACGGTTTTAATTAATTAGGCTATATGATGCCTAAAAGCATCATGTCCATGAATTAATAGGCTACTCGTCTGCACTTTTTAAGACTGTACATCTTTCAACTGTAATCAACCTAAAACATAAGTTTTGCATTAACATATTATCAAAATGTGTGCAATATCATTGCTGTATCATTGCAGAGTTGTTTATCAATTCAATTGATCTGAGAAAATCGAAATGTAGGCACTGTGGACGTTTTTTTTTTAACCAGAAATGTTCATTATTCATGTTTAGGTTTTTTAGATTGTATTGTTTGTGTAGGCCTATTGTACAAATCGAGTCAATATGCCTATTTATTACAAAGATTTTTCTATGAAATCCATAAAATCTAATAAATAAGGGACACTTATTTTATATCATGTTTAATTTCCAAAATTATTTTATTATTTTCTACATAGGCGTAATTGTGTACAAGTAACGTTGCCTCATTTACCACCCGCGCATTTCATTTGATTAGCCGTGTAATTGTAATACGTTTTCTCTAACTCGGAGAATAGAAGCGATAATGGCCGTTGTCTTATCACAGCGACAGTAATATGTTCAGTGAACGAGTAGTTAGCGGAGGTGTTTAAAGTTAACGATTTCCTACCCACGAGATAGGCCTGTTGATGGGGTAAACAGCAATAATCTCCTCACCATCTCCTGTGGTGAGCTCTGTGACCGTGGTGTCAGACCGACTGTTTCCCAAATAACATGCAACAACACAGGCAGAGATCCGGATCCTCATAAGCAATGGAATATATTTGATAAAATGTTAAAGGGCTATATTTTGATATATGGGGCTCTCCTATAATGATTATTTGTGGTGTGTATTTTGGGCTTTGGTGAGAGAACATTTAGATAAATTATGGACACACATTTTGCATGTACGGTCTGTAAATGAGATGAGGATTATTAGAGACACATACACACACAGTTTCACAAATTAATGTAGTCCTATACCCTAGACAAAAGTTACATGTATTAGTATAGATAGATTTGACAAGAAGCAGCATCTGATTGTTCACTAATGAGTTCACAGGAAATGTGTTTACAAGTCATTTTGCTGACAATGAAATTAAACTGATTAGCCTACATTGTACATTTAACCCTCATGGCTGACATTGCACTGAGTTGGGTGGTTTGTTTCAAACGTCTGCAAACAGTTCGGATTAATTTAATTTAATTAATTCTCAATACACAGATCTGTGCCTTTCACACCATTGTGTGCTAACCCTAAAACCAGCCAATCTCTGCTCTCGGCTCGTCATCTGCTTCTCCAGCACAGGCTCAACTGGTCGGTGACGTCAGCCGAGTATATAACGGGGCTGGAGTTCAAGTGGACCACGAAAACAAGTTAGTGAAGCCTCAGTCTCAACGCACCCACCGGCCACCGGAGTTGGTCCTACACGAGAAAAACACGCCAACGTCAACAAACTCGATGTTATGACGCAGATTTAGGAACTTTCCACGGACTTTTTCCTGACCGATACGAATTTAGTTTTTATCTCCCTTTTCACGTATCGGTGATGCCCGCTGGTATGTTTAGCATCGACAGTATCCTGGCCGGGAGACCCACTTGCAAGGACTCAGTGCTCCTCCATCGGAATGCCCCGGTGGTGTTCTCGAACCTCACGGATTCCATCTACACCGCTGCCGATTATAATGGACTCTACTCGCACACAACTGGACCTTCTCCCTCGGGCATCCAGGCGGTGAACGGGACTAGAATAGGATATAATAACTATTATTATGGACAACTGCATGTGCAGGGCCCCAGTGGGCCTGCTTGCTGCAGCGCTATCCCTACCCTCGGCTCGCAACAGTGCCCGTGTATTCCAACAGGTAGGTTGCCCTCTCCCACTTCTATCTGTAGTCAAAAGTAAACATTAAAAACTCTGCATGTTCCTTGGGTGATGGACAATGTAACGCTGCCTGTAATGACAAGTAAAAGTTAAAACATTATGTTAGGCTATAGAGGATGATAGATATAGTGTACTTACTGTGATGAAGATGTCGTTGTCCCACTGGCTATCCTAAGTTGAATGCACCAATTTGTAAGTCGCTCTGGATAAGAGCGTCTACTAAATGACTTAAATGTAAATGTAAATATAGGTAAATTGGTTGGTGTTTTAACTTGTGAATGCGCCCATTGCGCAACATTACACACAAGGTCATTTTGGTGGCACATATAGCCTATTTAAGAAGCCTATCCATGGTATAGGCCTACTCTAATTCAGTTTTACTTTTACGCATTAACTAGAATACATTTTATGCTAAACTTTGTGTAGACATTTGCATGGGATGATGCGTGTGCTATATTATACATGTGTAAAGGTGTTGTTTTTGCTGTCTAAATAGTTTGATTTGTGCGGAGTTGTTTTTTTTTCGTTTTTTTCATTTGTGATATCTGTATAGGCCTATTGGGTGTGGTGCGAATTGAATTATTCATTGAGGACAAACAAATGTTTGTTTATTTCTCCATGCAGCTTATGACCGCACGGGCTCTGTGCTCATCTCTCCCATCCCGCACCAGATGATGTCCTATATGAACGTGGGCACCTTGTCTCGGACCGAGCTCCAGCTCCTGAACCAGCTCCACTGCCGACGCAAGAGGAGACACCGGACCATCTTCACCGACGAGCAGCTCGAGGCCCTGGAAAATCTCTTTCAGGAGACCAAGTACCCTGACGTTGGCACACGGGAACAGCTTGCGCGGAGAGTGCACCTACGGGAGGAGAAGGTCGAGGTGAGTGCATGCACGGCCCTGTGTTGCTGGCTGTCTACCACCGCTATACACACATTAGGCTGCGTTTATTTTCAGAATATCTGTGAAGGATCTCTCCATATGACGAAAATAAAGGTATCAATATAGAACGTTCGTTGCGCATTGTAACAATTATGCACATTCGTTGAAAGGCCAAATATTCTATCCAAGCGTTACGCACATAGTAATAGAAATCGTTTACGTCTTTCTAGTGCCAAAAATATGTTATATTAACCCAAATTACGTTACAAGTACTCTACAACACGGTATAACAAATATTTCATACAAAGTAAAAAATATTGTATCTTCTATTTTCGCATAGGTGTGGTTCAAAAACAGACGAGCGAAATGGAGAAGACAGAAAAGGTCGTCCTCGGAAGAATCTGAAAACTCACAGAAATGGAACAAATCGACGAAAACACCCACAGAGAAAACCGAGGAAAACAAAAGTGATGTGGATTCGGACAGCTGATATTAATCTAACACAAAAAAATAGAAAAGACTGTTGGTTGCATAGCCTATAGGTGGATGCGCAAATAGGCTTCATACAGGATTTGGACTTCTTGTACATAATGTGATGTGGACTGAAGTAATGAAATCTTTTGACATGATGTTGCACAGTTGTATAGTAAATATTACTTTTATTATTGCTATGGGGTAAGCTATTTATATTTAATTTAAAGTTTTTGTTAAGCATACCGTCCCGAAGATGTGGTGAGCAAGGAGCCAGGATCAGTTTTCTGGCGTGTCTCAATACTTCGCGAACAGACATTACATCTCATATAGATATTACATGTTATACATCGGATATTGTTATTTACCGCAAATAATATTCTGAAACTACATCAATGGGGAAAATATATTCATAGAGTTAACAGGAATCACACTTAATGTGGAACTATTGACGGGGAAGCGTTTTGTCACCTTTATAAGATAAAAGGACAAAGCTATATTTGTCAACTCATAACCATACAGACGTGTTTGGGGATTTGACTAAAATGATTTGTCAATATGTTGCAATTAATGATAATTACAGGAACAATGAATCTACATTAAATCATATCTGAATCATCTCTATTTCCTTTGTCTCCTTTAGCATGTTTTCCTTCTATTTCTAATAATATTATCTATATTTATGAATTGGAAATTAAAATGCCTTGATTGACAGTAGGCAAAAGTGTGCTGTTTTCAAGACATTTGAAAAAAGACGCACTGCAAAAGACACCCGTATGCATGGAAATAGTGCTTGAATCGCATGCGGATAAATTCTGGAAAAGGGTCCTAAATGATGCAGTTGATATGAAGCTTCTAGTCTTCTTATAACATTTTATTTAATGCGTTAGGTAAGCTACCAAACACAAGAGTTGTAATACAGCTTTTTTTAAATTAAAAAAATCGATTAATTTGCCTCTGATGTGGCAAAATAGACAGTGAGAATAGTCTATATATAATTTACTGTCGAGCTTTTTTTGGCACCTTCAATTAAAAGGAAACAAAAATGATTATCAAAAGTAAAAATTATTTCGTTTACAATTGGCAAAGCTGAGCCTATCATTTCAAAACATTCAAAGCAACAGGTGTTTCAAATAGATTAATTATGATACGCATATTTATAGGCCTAACTCATGATTAGCCTAATAGCCTATAGACTCATTTAAAACTCTTTGGAAAAATCAACGATTGTCTTTATAACCTAAATGATAACAGGATTATCTGTTACTGTTTATTATCTATCCTGTTGCCTAGTCACTTTATCCCTACCTATATGTACATATCTACCTCAATTAGCCTACCTCGTAGCCTGCACATCGACTCGGTACTGGTACCCCGTGTATATAGCCAAGTCATCGTTACTCATTGTGTATTTCATTCCTCGTGTTATTATTTATCTTTTTTTTCTTGCTGCATTGTTGGGAAGTGCCCGTAAGCATTTCACTGTTAGTCTATACCTGTTGGTTACGAAGCATGTAACAAATACAATTTGATTTGATTATTGCTGTTATGCAGATCATTCATATTTCAGCTAGCAACTCAACAGAATTGTCTACCCTGTAGGCTACTTTCCCGTCATTTCACAGCTCTAGGTTAAGGCGATCAAATAACCATTTTGTCCCCAATGAATCCCCAAAACTACCAACCTAAATTCACCTCCAATCAAATCAAATCATTTTTTATGAGATGAGATGAGATCAAATATCTGATATAAAGCACTAAAAGTGAAATGACTAAGAGTTTTAGACAACATGTTGTACAAATGATGGGTCAGTTGCTCAAGTCTTATTTTCTCACACGGAATAAGGGAGATCCATTGCAATACAGAACGGTTGCAATACACACCGGAGGTTGCTCAATATATAATATGGTAGACTAGTTCAAATTCATTGGCGAACCAGGACTATAGGACATAGACCTTCAGAGGGATCAAAAATCTTCCAATACAATAGGTTGTATCAAACTCAAAAATCAAGAAAATAAAAATAACACATAGCATCACCGAATGCGCCCGTATATATTCTGTAGTCAGACCATTCGTAGTGAAGGAGGAGCAATGTTTTTTGCTGACATTATAAATGAATCAAACAGGCCTGGCCGCGTTTCGGGCTGTCGCACACACAGAGACAGAACCGGCATGGACACAACATGTGACACACAGCATAAAATAATGCGACTAGCAAAACAAAAAAACACGCTGTTTACACAACCAATGGTAGCCTAACACCACTAACACCACTATCACCACTATGTGGTCCTCTGTAGCTCAATTGGTAGAGCATGGAGCTTGTAACGCCAATGTAGTAGGTTCGATCCCCGGGACCACCCATACGTAAAAATGTATGCACACATGACTGTAAGTCGCTGTGGATAAAAGCTTCTGCTAAATGGCATGTTATTATATTATCACACTATCACCAATAGTGACAACAAGTGTGTCACATCAAAGATGACAGGCTCCTGGTGCTGAAAGAACATCGACCTGTGCACTCCATGGCGCTGAAGGAGAGACAGTTTTCGTCAATAGACAGGGCTGATAGACAGGCGACAGAATAAGCAGCCCATTCACTCCAGGAGGCCCCATGCAATCAGAACAATACAAAAGCACAACCATTTCATTTCCAAAATGAAATCAACAAACCAGCATTGCAAACATATTTTATCAAGTTCATCACACTAACCCGTGATCTAAAGTTTAAATGCAACAATGTTTATTGTCAATGCTTACAGTCATTATTTTCAAAGAAATAGCTAACAACAAGCAAGCTGCAAAAAAATAAAACAAGGAACTCTGCCACCAGATTATGATCATATGTAAACGAAGGTTTGAAAAATAGCCTAATCCTGAAAATGGTGACGCTAACAAATTGCACTATTAGCGGTCTACACATTTTCACTTTTTTTTAAACGTCCCACCCACTGCAAGTCAAAATATGATTGGTTCATTCCACTGTCACTCCAAAATTATGCTCTAATACAGTTGAATGACAGAGGTCTTTGGTCCAGTTTCTGAAGGCCTAGCCAATGGCTGGCTGAGCTAGCTAGAATTTTCTACCCAGTCTACCAAAGAAAAATCATGATTGGATATTTATTTCTCTTCAGTATTAACCCGTCTCCTTCCAACACAAACGGAAGAGATTAAATCAGAAGATCATAAAAACTATTGTAAAAATGTAATAGAACTGAAAACTAAATTTAATGAAGAAAAAAAACATATGTATTTTATTTATGTATAAATCCTTAGGCCTTCCTAGAAGGCCAACACGGTTCCCACAGTTCAAATTCATGTGTGAGGGTTGGTGATCAAATTCAATGGTGAATTATTTTTTACAATGCAATTTAAGCCCCACCCATGCTGTTCGTGTAGTACATGGATGTACAAATTGATGCCCATTTAAAGTGTAATTCATAGTGATTCCATACCTGATTCAAATAGTGTTCCACAGGGCCTAACATTTAATTTTTGGCCCACTAGCCACTGTGGCAGGTATATGAAAAAATCCCGCCACTCAGATATTTTACCATGCTTTGTAATGTGACCAATTTTTGTGACCTAAGTATTTTAACCAAACTATCAGATGAGACAAAATGTTCAGCTGCCCCTTTAAGGGCGGGAGGTTACCGTGGTAATGGGGCCACTTGAGTCGTCACTTGTGTCCATGTGCGTGTGAGATTTGGGATCTGATTAGGGCGTCTCTACACTATCAGTTGAAGCAGCAGACTCAAACTAGCGTTGAAAAGCAGCCGAGCTTGTGAACAAAACAATGTAAATAGCTAAGACACACGAGGACAAAGTCACACTTTGTAGACTTTAGACTAAATTAGACCAACTTTTATGCCTGTGCGCAGCACCTCCAAAAATGAATCTATTAGCACTTCACTCAGTGCACTCAGCTCCCCTGCCAGACAGTGTTGCTGCGTGAGTTGAGGATGCTGTGTGAGTTGAGGATATAGGATTCGTATTTATTTGTGCAATAAGCTGTTATGAAACATAACAACATAAATACTTTGAAAACAGACACTGCTGCATTTTCCTGCTATAAATCGCAACTCGCACATATGCTCATACTTGACTTTTGACTATTTTTATTGGCTAATGTAGGCCTAATGCTTGCACTGTAGCCCTGCAAATAGACCACCAGGCAACGAAGCTGGTGAAATAGACATTCTTACCTTTCAATGCCTAAATCTACCCGCATTTGGCAGGTGTTAATTTTATGCCCTGGTTTTCTATAATGGATGATGGTGATCTTCATGGCAGCTGATCAATATGTCCATGTCATACACAATTTATAACATATATCTTATTTACTCCATGTCTACACCAGCCCTAATATCCAACAGTGGCAAATAGTGAACATGGAATTGTGTTGTATTTGCAATGCTGTGTTACATTGTTATATGATATAAGTTATAAGTGGAGTGCCGGCATATTTACCGTACAATAAAATATTGGAAAAACTGAACAGAAATACATCTCCATTTTCCGTTCCATACTTAACAGCAATGCTAAGTTGACTTGGCATTTTAAGATTTATATTTTCCATCTTCCAAGGTCATAGAATCCAAATCACAGCCTCACCAAACAAACCATATTATTTATTTATGTCCAATTAATTTGAGTCAGTGCCTTTCTGTTCCCTTCGATTGGTTTATGATCAGTGAATTATGTGTGAACTCTGTGTTAGATAATTTAGCCAAGCCCCTCTGCAGAACTACTCACATATCAAATCAAACGTTATTTATATAGTACATTTCAGACATGAATGCAACGCAATGCGCTTCACACAAAAAACCACACAAAAACAATGAAAATAAAAACGGAAATATTTACTACATAATAAACATGACGATACAAAACTAAAGAAGAACAATACAAACTAAAAGACAAAAAAAGCACCCTAAGGAAAAGCAAAGCTAAAAATGTGTGTTTTAAGATCTCTATTAAATATACCACATATACCTTTATGTATCCTAGTGGTTAAAGCGTTGGGACAGTAACCGATAGGTTGCTTGTGCGAATCCCCGAGCCGGCAAGGTGGAAAATCTGCCGTTCTGTCCTAGAGCAAGGTAGTTAACAACTCCTCACCGGGCGCCAAAGACGTGGATATCGATTAAGTCAGCCCCCGGCAACTCTCTGATTCAGAGGGGTTGGGTTAAATGCGGAAGACTCATTTTTTGGTAAATGTTGTGCAACTGACTAGGTATCCCCTTTCCCTTCACGGTGGACAGCCAGTGGACATGATGATAATAGTCCTCCTTTGGCTCTTATATTTTCCTTTTAAGGAGTAATTGTAATAGAAGTTAACTTTGTAAACCGACATGTGGCCTTGTCTCTCTCCATCCAGGGAAGGAGAGTTGTATTGAATCACAGGGTCAAGTTCTCCCCTTTCACCAGAGAAAGGCTACCCTGAGTGGGCTAGCAGGCCACAGAGCTAACCAACTATACATATAGCATAGCAACTACAGTAGTGGCCTATTTAAGGAGTCCTGCAGTTTACAAAAACACTGCTTTAGACTCTTTCACTCAGTACTGAAGATTTGGGGTTTGCTTTGGGTTGTTCTGTTGCCTGCTGTAAGATGAACTCTGAAACAAAACTTGTCAATAAAATAAGTCAACATGATATGAAGGACAATCAGAGCCAAAACTTTCAGAGTTTATCTAAATCAATCGGTTAATTAAATGCAGAAAAACAACACAAATTGACCTTGGAGATTAGCCAACTGTGCCTGTATCATGTTTCACAATACTTATTTTCTATGTCTTGCCAATAAACTGGAATATGAGACACAACAAACTCTTTCACAAGTAATATATTTAGGCATGACATATATTTTATGTCATGGTTTATGTCTTATATTGAGTTTT